GTGTGTGTGTGTGTGTGTGTGTGTGTGTGTGTGTGTGTGTGTGTGTGTGTGTGTGTGTGTGTTTTTGTTTCGTGCGTGGTTTCTTCGCCATTTGATCAAGGATGCTCCTCGATGGTCCTCGCCGAGGGCAAAATGCACACGTCCGAGCGATGCCAAGGAGGGGCACCGTGGGCCCGTCCAGAACCCGAGGTGGGCACCATACGCCCACCACCACCAGCGAAAGTACACCATCTGTCGTCCGCTCCTCGTTCCGTTCGGCATTCGGTGCGCTTCTGAACTCGGCGCTTCGGCCTCTCTCCGGTCCTCGATGGAGCGAGGGCGATTGGGGACGACGACTTGGGGCGATGGAGCGAGGCAGAGGGCGAGGAAAGGAGGAAGAGGTGGAGCAGGGAGGGGGGGAGGGGGGGAGGGAGGGAGGGGAGGGAGGGAGGGGGATGAGGGAGAGAGGAAGGAGGATGGAAGACGGAGGGGGGGAGACGACCGTCTTTCCGTCCGCGGAGTGCGCCACCCCGTACACGAAGGACGCGTGGCCCGCCAGCTTGCCCATCTCGCAGCCTGGGCGCCCCAGACCCCAGCCCCCAGGATTCTAGGACGAGGAACCCTCTCGATTGTCGTCGATTGTCGACGTCGTCGCCGTCGTCGTCCTCACCGTCCTTGTCGCCGTCGATTGTCGTCGTGGTTGTCCTTACCGTGATCGTCCGCGTCGTCGTCGTCGTCGCCGCCATCGTTGTCGTCGTCCATGTCGTCCAACTCGCCCTCGTCGTCCTCGTCCTTGTTGCCGTCTTCATCCTCGTCCTCCTCATCCTCGTCGTCGTCACCTTCGTCTTCCTCGTCGCCGTGGCCGCTGCCGCCGCAATCCTCCTCTGCCTCCTCCTCCTCCTCCTCCTCCTCCTCCTCCTCCTCCTCCTCCTCCTCCTCCTCCTCTTTTCCTCCATCCTCCCTTCTCCCTCCCTCCCCTCCCTCACCCTGTCCATCCACCCTCCCTTGGCCATCCTGACTCCTCCTCTCCTGCTGGTCCATCCTCCATCGATCTCCCTTATCTCCCGTATAGATAACTCTGCCTCGTCGCGTCGCCCGGCCGGGCGCTTCGCCCGAGACCTCCCCATCACTTATGCTGCTGGAGCTCAGAACCTCCAACGTTTGCTCCGCGGATGAGGGCGGACAAGTTTCAAAAGTCGCCCAGCACAGCGGGGCAACGACGTGCTGGAATATCGTGTAAGAGGTTCGGAATCATGACACGCGTGTACTGCACGGTCGCGCGCGCGCGCATGGCGGCCCCTGGTCGGGGGTCCCTGGAGGAAGTCCGGGCGAAGCCAGGCAACGCGACGCCTGGCAAGGTCCTGGGCAGGTCTGGCCAGAGATGACTCCACTCCCTGGCTAAGGAGGAGAACGATGGGGAGGATAACGATGGGGAGGAGGAATATGAGGAGGAGCAGGAGAAGGAGGAGGAGGAGGAATATGAGGAGGAGGAGGAGCAGGAGGAGGAGGAGGAGGAGGACGAGGAGGAGGAGGAGGAGGAGGAGAGGGAGGAGGCGCGGCCCCGAGGACCGCCAAGGCTCCCAAGAGCACCCCAGAGGATGCCCCAAGGGAGCTCCGAGAAAGAGCCCAAGAGCGGCCGAAGCACGGGAATCAATGGAGGGGGCCCCAGGACACACAGATAAATACACGCAAATAAACATACTCCCCATATTTTCTATGTTTTTCTGGGTTTTTGTCTTCCCCCCCACTTCCCATACTTTCCCATATTTTCTGTGGAATCGACGATTAACTGTGTCTGTGTGTTTTTTTCCCTCCTGATCAATGGGTCGCAAGCCCCAAAATGGCTCCGAGGTGGCCCAAGATGGCCCCAGACAACCCCCCAGAGGCCCCCGGCAGGCCCAAATCCTTCAAACACTTAAACCTGGTAAATGGTGCGTTCTCTCATTTCCGCTTCCTATGGCCTCCTCAGCTCTCAACATAGCTCAAGCACCGCTCAAGATAGCCCCAAGTGGGAGCTCGCCCAGCTCCCCAAGACTCCCAAAAACGTCCCAGGGGAGGCTCGAGAAAGCCCCCGGGAGAGCCCAACCGCGGCCCAAGAGCGGGGATCCATGAGCGGCGTGCCCTGAGATGCCCCAAAGTGACCCCTGGGTGAGCCCTGGGTGAGCCCTGGGTGAGCCAAGAGAGTTCCGATGAGCCAAGGCAGGTGCCAAGAGGCCCCCTGGAAGCCAAAGTCTCTCAAGCGGCTGAAGTTGTTCAGCGGTGTCGGCTTCCTCGCCTTTTCTTGCCGTCGCTCGGACGTCCATTTTCCGTGCATTTTTCGGTTTCGTGCGTGCTTTGTTGGCTCGATGGTCCAGGATGGTCCTCGATGGGTTTCGCCGATAGAAAGTGCACACGTCCGAGCGATGCCAAGTTTTTGCTTCATGTGGCCCTCTCAATTCTCGAGATGGCTCGAACACCGCTCAAGACGGCCCCAAGTGGGAGCTGGAGCCTGGAGAGCTCCAGGAGGGTTCCCAAGAGTAGGAGGAGGAGGAGGTGGAGGAGGAGCAGGAACAGAATGAGGAGGAGGAGGAGGAGGAGGAGAGTGCCCAAGGGGGTGCCCTAGAGAGCTCCTCAAGAGCCCAACAGCGGCCGAAGAGCGGGGACCAACGGGACGTCGCGTGTCCCAAGATACCCTCTAGATAATCACACAGAGGCCCCAACAGATGGCCACGAGGTGGCCCTAGATGAGCCAAGACAGTCCCGAGGAGGCCCCCAGCAGGCCCAAGCCCTTCAAAACCTAAAGCCTTTGAATGTTTTCTGATATCTTGCCTGTTTGCTCCCCGTGGGTTTTTTTTCATCCATCGACATAAGGGAAAACAAAATCTAGCTGGAACTGTCTATGAGGACACGTGCAGCTATCGTGATATACACTGGATTATCCCGTCGCAGGGAGCTGGGTCCCTATACTCGCTATGTGCGCGCGTGCAGGCCTAATGCTCAAGCAGGGCAGGCCAGGCTGATGGGCAAAGGGGCTAGGTGCGGAGCTAACCATAGTCTTCGAGGAGGCAGAGAAAATTCTCGGCGTACTCAGTGGTAATCGTTCTCGTGAGAGCGTCGTAATAGTTCTCGTGCTTCTGCATTGCGTCATTCAGTGCTACTTCCAATCGCCCCAGCTGTACTGGTGTGCGTGGTTGGTCCCAGACCTGGGACGTGGGTGTGAGCTCCGTGGCAATGTCGAGCGCCTCAAAGTAGTTGTGGCTCTGCGTGAGCCCCATCCGAATAGCGTCAACGATCTCCTCGGGGAACTTGTAGGAGTCGGCAATATTCACATCGTTCTCCAGAAGCCGAAAGGCTCGAGCGAGCCTCGGGAGTGGCGCCACCGCGTCCTTCGTTTCGTCGAGAGACGTCTCGGGGAGGGCCTCGGCTGCAAGAGACTCCATGTTCTTTATCAGCAACTCCATGTTCTTTGTCAGCGCGTCGATCTTGGGCTCCATCGCCAAAGAGCCCTCCTCCTGTGGCATCGGCTTGAACTCGAGGTCCTTCAGCAGCACCATGTCGAGGCCAGGGGGAGGGCCCAGCGTCGCACCAGCATGAAAGGCTCGGCACCGCTTTCTGCGTCTGTTCGCCTGTGCGCGCGAGCGCCGCACGCCAAGAGGCGAGGCGCTACAGCGTTCAGCATGCATCGCAGGTGCAGGTAGATGCTCATCGCGACATTCATGATCTGGTGCATCAGCAGTGGCCGCCCGCGAGCACGGCAGCACTGCGCGCGCAGCGGCCATCCATGAGAGCCCCCCTTCTGAGGGGTGGGGCCAGAGTGGCGTCCGTGTGGTAAGTACCGGCGGCAGAGCAGGTTTGTGCCGAATGGGTACTTCTCCCCGTGGGCTTCTCATGATGGCTTCAAAACTGTTCAAGATGGCCCCAAATGGTGACTGGAAGCGCTCCCAAAAGCGAGCTCCAAAGACTCCCAAGAGCGCCGCAGGGGAGGCTCAATTCTTCAAGCAACTAAGCTCTTCTGGTGGCATTGGATTGCTCCGACAACGCGCGAAACAACACAGAGACACACCTATAAGCAAAAAGCGCTGCATATCCCAACCCAAGGTGGCCCCCACCCCCCAACGTCGTCCCACATTGCCAACTACAAAAGCGAGACGGCCCCCGCGAGTCCCCAGAAGACACCCCAGAATCCCTTGTACGTTACGCAAATTTCGCGCTACCGAGGACATACATTACGCCAGCTTCGCAATTCCGAGGCCAGAACCCACCGTACATGGCGCCAGATTCGCGCTCACGAGGCCAGAATCTTGTAAGTTACGCTGGGTTCGCGCTCACGAGGCCACAACCCCTTGCAAATTGCACAGGAATCCGTGGTCTCCGGGCCAACATCCTTTACCAATTACAATATTCGCGCTAGGCTATGAGCTCGCCCCAGGGACGCTGCCCCAAAGCCCACTCTCCCTCTCCAAGGCAGAAAACATGTATTTGTCGGTTGCTTGGGAAACGTTTTTCGCTGCTCTCCCCCCCACCCACCCACCCCCGACCCCCCACCCGTCCTGATAAATCGGGGCTGCACCCGCAGCCCCGAATCAAAGACGGCCCCAACCACGCGATGTTGCAAAAGGTTGCTTGCTTCAAACACCCGCCCCAACTCGTTCGAAGAGGGATTCGACTATACAATGTGAGAGACAAGCTCTGACAAGGAAACAGACTCTTCAAACACAGCACAAACATGTCAGGGCGTTTGCTGAAACCCAGTCGCCATCGCATGATGCTCCCAGGCGTCTTCAAAACGGCGCCGAGGCATCCCAGCTGTATCCCACTTGATAAAGAGAGAGGATAGAGGAAAAAGAATTATGCACATACACCGATTCTGGCCAGACCCATCCTGAGCCCAGGATCGGTGCATATGCCCTCCTACCTTGGCCAGGAAGGCATATGCACCGATCCTGGGTCAAGGATGGACGTTGTCAGGATCGGTGCATGTGCATAATCCTCTTCGCCCGAGAGGAGGGGTGCCAGCGGCAGGGGGCACGAAGCCCTGAACCCTGGCGAAGCGATATCGAAGCGATGAGGCGAGACCCTCACGTATACAGTCGAGGCGCTGACCTAAGGAACCTCCTCCTCCTCCTTCCCCTCCTCCTCCTCCTCCTCCTCCTCCCCCCCTCCCTCCTCCTCCTCCTCCCCACCTTCCCCTCCTCCCTCCTCCTCCTCCTCCTCCTCCTCCTTCCTCCTCCTCCTCCTCCTCCTCCTCCTCCTCCTCCTCCTCCCTGTCCGCGCCGCCATGCGGGCCTTACAGTCGGGGCGTTGACCTAAGGAACTCTATAAGGAACGAGGCCCCTTTTTCCATAAGTTAAACTTCGATTTCCGATCGGAAAACATAAGGAAAACCTGAGGCAAGATGTGAAGCGCTGAAGGAACGCGGAGCCCCTCCCCAACCAACAGGGTTCCTTCTTCAGGGCCCCGACTGTAGCGCTGCACGCACTCGCCTTCAAAGTGTCAACAGCTGTACGGACTGAGCGGCTCGTCCTCAATTTGCGTATCTCGCCCCAGCAGCGCGGGCATTCGTCGTGGAAGTCAACTACACGGATGAAGCCTGACCCGTGTTTAAGCTGTAGCTGTCGTCTTAGCGCACTCTCGTCTTGAAGCATTCCAAACAGCTTCGCGGATTGAATGCGAGTCGTTGGAAATATGGCGCATCGTTTAAAAAGCCTTCAGAGCGTGCTACACTCATACCGATGAAGGGATGGCCCTTGCCAAAACGAGGCTCCCGCTGAACGCTTGACCGTACACTGCGTGACCATCCCTTCGTGGCACGTATACCCAGAAGGGTGGAGGCTATCTGGAGATCTCGCCAGAAAAGCAGGCCCATGAAGCGGGCTCCCATCTTTCGGAGGGGGGGGGAGGGCTTTCCGCAACGAGAAGAACTACTGCAGGGACTGCTGAGGGTACTTTGGGCGGGAATGTTGGCACACCCGTAGACTCTAGCAATCCTCCACCTCCCATCCTCATCCTCTTCTGGCTCCTCGTCCTGCTCTTTCTCCCCCTCATCCTCCTCGTCACCATCAGCATCATGATCATCATCACCATCATCATCAACATCATCATCACCATGATCAGCATCATCATCATCATCATCTTCAGAGCTTCCTGCCCCTCACCATCCCATGCAACACGACACCTCATCACCTCACCCTTCATTGCAGAGCACTCACATCGAGATCGATCAGCGCTCAAGCAGACACTCTTTCTCACCAGCCATCTCTCTCCACAAAGTCACACCTGTCCTGCTCCAATGCGAGTCGCACACCATCGCATACCGCACAGCGAGCGAGCCTCACTCAACACTATCTCTCTCTCTCTCTCTCTCAACACCTTATCTCTCATCTCTATCTCTCTCATCTACGCTACGAGACGCGCAGCAGCCTAATCACAGTAAAGAAGCGCGTGGGATTGGAGAGCGCGGAAGCGCGACATGAAAAACACAATATATGATTATAAGTGAATCAGCATCTTCATCAGCATCGCCCATCATCATCATCATCATCATCATCATCATCATCATCATCATCATCATCATCATCATCATCATTACCACCACCATCATCATCACCACCATCATCACCATCCAGAACAACATCATCATCAGCAACATCTGCATCATCATCATCATCATCATCATCATCATCGTCATCGGCATCATCAGCAGCATCGGCAACATCATCATCAGCATCATATGATCCTTCTTCCTTATCAAAATCATTGTCATAGTCCTTATCATCCTGAGCCTCCTCCTTCTCTCCTCATTATCCTTCTTCCTCCTCGTCGGCCTCCTCCTCCTCCTCCGTCTCCGTCTCCTCACGTCCTCTTTTACTCCTCCTCCTCCTCCTCCGACTCCTGCCCGTCCCCCTATTCCTCCCCCTGCTCCTCCTATTCCTCCCCCTCCTCCTCCTCCTCCTCCTCCCTCTCGCCTCCTCCTCCTCCTCCTCCTACCCTCCTTCTCCATCAATAACTCAATATGAGTACTAACTCTCCCCTTGCCCCTGATGGCGTGCTGGGAATATCGACCCATCCCCCGTACTGATTTTTACACAACAGGTTTTTTTTACACAGGATTCCCGGGAGTTGGGTTTTCGCCTGCGATTTTTTTCAAAATGCTGCTCTCGCTGAGGCGCCGGCCTCATTTCTGCTCCCGAATCGTTCCGAATCGTGCTCCCGCTGCAGCGTGGGCCTCATTTTCGGATCGGTGTTTGGCCTCCGTCGTTCAGGATGGCGTTTTCGCCCCAGCGCGGGCCTCTTTCTCGCGCGCCCATCCGCCCGCCACCACCGCGCCGCACCACGCCCCGCCCCGCCGCACGCACACCCACCGCCACTGCCACCCACCAACGCACGCACGCACGCACGCGCACCACCACCGCGCACCGCCACCACCACCGCACTACCCCACCCACCACCACCACGCTACACCGCGTTACACCACATCACACGCGCGCACACACAGACACACACGCACGCACGCACGCACGCACGCACGCACGCACGCACGCACGCACGCTCGCACGCACGCACGCACGCACGCACGCACGCACGCACGCACGCACGCACGCACGCACGCACGCACGCACGCACGCACGCACGCACGCACGCACGCACGCACGCACGCACGCACGCACGCACGCACGCACACACACACACACACACGCATACACACGCCCACACACACGCACACACACACACACCACCACCGCCACCACCACCACCGCCATCACGCACGTACGCACCTGGCCCACCACCAAACCACCAAGACGCCACACCACGTCACACCACATCACACGCGCACACACGCACACACACACACACATACACACCACCACCACCACCACCACCACAACAACAACCACAACCACGCACACACGCACGCACGCACGCGCACCACCACCCACTACGCACACGCGCGCGGAGCCACAGGTCCGCTACGACACGCGTCCGCGAATAGAGAAAATCAGCGCCATGGTAAGGGATGGGAGGGAGGGGTAGGATGTCAGATGTTGACGCGAGCGCACCTAACTTGTTAACCTCCTCCTCCTCCTCCTCCTCCTCTTCTCCTCCTCCTCCTCCTCCGCCCCCCTCCCCCTCCCCCTCCCCCTCCCCTCCTTCTTCCTCCTCCTCCTCCTGCCTCCGCCTCCTCTCCTCCTTCTCCTCCTCCTCCTCCTCCTCCTCCTCCTCCCCTCCTCCTCCTCCTCCTCCTCCTCCTCCTCCTCCTCCTCCTCCTCCTCCTCTTCGTCCTCCCGTCCTCCCCCGACGTCCAATAGAGTGCTCCAGGAGAGGAGAAGGACGAGGAGGAGGATGAGGAGCAAGTGCTGCAGCAGCAGGATGAGTGGTACAGTCAAGCCGTATCATAAGGGCGCACGATGAGGATGCAAGGGCCTTCGAAGGCCACGTCGACACTTTGCGAGCGGGGCGCGGCCGGCGAAAGCGGCACAGGAGAGGCCGAGGGGGAAGGATGCGAGGGTAAACTTGGTAAGCTGCTCAACCTTACCATTCGGGTCGACTGTACGCCTCCTCCCGCGGGCCGCGGGCTGGTGGCATGGACGTCGTCCAGGCGTGGCCTCCCTCCTCCTCCTACCGCCCTTCATCGGTGACGACGAGGACGACGACGACGACGACGACGACGACGACGACGACGACGACGACGACGACGACGACGACGACGACGAGGACGACGAGGGCCCTGCAGTAGGCGCGACGACGACGTGCGACGTGCGACGTTCGACGTTCGACGCCCGACGCTCGACGACGTTCGGCGTTCGACGTGCGGCGTTCGACGACGCCGAGGAGACTGCCGAGCCCGACGACGACGCTCCAGGTTCGATAGTCCAGCGCGCCGTCGAACGACCACACCTTCAGGCAGTTGTCGTTGGAGCAGGTCACGACGTGCGCTGACGAGGCGGAGATCCCGCGGATAATGTCGCCGTGGGCCTCCGACGCCGGGCGTCGAGCGCACGGGGGGGGCGAACGCCTCTAGCAGTCTCCTCGCATCCCCCCCCTCCCCGAACCCCATCATCCTAATCCTCCCCTGCTGTTGACGCGGGCCTCCGTCGCCAGGCGGGGAGGAGGGGGAGATCAGGATCGGTTGGTTCTTCATCTGATTCTCGTGTTTCTTCTTCGTCTTCTTCTTCTTCTGCTTCGTCCCCCCCCCACCCCACCCCTCCTAGCCTCCTCCTCCTCCTCCTCATCCTCCTGCCCGTCGTCCTCCTCCTCCTCCTCCTCCTCCTCCTCCTCCTCCTCCTCCTCCTCCTCCTCCTCCATTCCTTTTCCTCATAAATAACTTCCCCCTGTCGCACCCCGAGGTCAATGTTTAGGGCGGGCTGGGCGTTTCGCCGAAGACTTCCTCACCATTCATGACTCTGAAGCTTCAAAAGATGGAGGGCGGATCGTGTTCAAAATGTGGCTCTTGCCTCAGCGCCGCGCACATTCGTTTTTAAAATCGCAAGAGTTTCGCGGATTGAAGGCAGGTCGTTTTCGAACTATGGCTCTGGCCTAAGCGCCGCGCACATTCGTTTTAAACATGTGCAAGAGCTTCGCGCATTGAAGGCGGGTCGTTTTCAAACTGTTGCTCTCGCTTCAGCGCCGCGCACATTCGTTTTAAGAATTTCCAAGAGCTTCACGGATTGAGGGCGGGTGGTTTTCAAAATGTGGCTCTCGCATTCGCGCCGCGCACTTTCGTTTTAAAACATTTGCAAGAGCTTCACGGATTGAGGGCGGGTGCTTTTCAAAATGTGGCTCTCGCCTTAGCGCCGCGCACTTTCGATTTAAGAATGTGAAGGAATCTCACGGAGTACCATGATCAGCGTACCAGAAATGGCGTTTTGGAAGGATTCGGGATTATGCGGGCGCAGCAATTATGTTTAAGAACGGCGTTCTGGCACGATTCCGGATCGTCAAGACGGAGCAGTCAGGTTGATCCGTGGCGTTGAAATCCCAAGAACAATGTTTTGGCATGCCTCAGGGTCTTCAAGGGTGCCTTCCAACGAGGCAGTTACCCCAATGGAGATGAACCATTGTAAGGGCTTCTGAAGAGGGAGCTTGAGGGAGGGTTAATTCCAACATCGTTGATGACTCTTTGGTTTGCACTGGTCCTCCTCCTCCTCCTCCTCCTGCTCCTCCTCCTGCTCCTCTTCCTCCTCCTCCTCTTCCTCCACAATTACACAATATGAAAATACTCTCCCACTTCCCCCGATGGCGTCCCGAAAATATCCGACCCCCCCCCACGTAGTGTTTTTTACACACAAGATTCCCGGGAAACGGGTTTTCGCTTGTGTATTTTTTCCAAAATGCTGCTCTCGCCGAGGCGCCGGCCTAATTTTCAGGCCCCGCTCGTTCCGAATCGTGCTCCCGCTGCAGCGCTGGCCTCATTTCCGTGCTTCCGCTCGCTCCGAATCGTGCTCCCGCTGCAGCGCTGGCCTCATTTCTGCGCTTCCGCCCGTTTCGACTCGTGCTCCCGCTGCAGCGCTGGCGTCATTTCCCGTGCCATGCCACAGCACACGCGCACACACGCACACACACACACACACCACCACCACCACCACCACCACCACCACCACCACCACCACCACCACCACCACCACCACCACCACCACCTCCACCACCACCTCCACCACCACCACCACCACCACCACCACCACCAGCACCACCAGCACCACCAGCACCACCACCACCAGCACCAGCAGCACCAGCACCAGCACCACCACCACCACCACCACCAACAACACAACCACGCACTCACGCACGCACGCACGCACGCACGCGCACCACCACCCACTAGTCCGCGGATAGAGAAAATCAGCGCCATGGTAAGGGATGGGAGGGAGGGGTAGGACGTCAGATAACGCGCGCGCGCACCTAGCTTGTCCCCCTCCCCCTCCCCCTCCCCCTCCTCCTCCTCCTCCTCCTCCTCCTCCTCCTCCTCCCCCTCCTCCTCCTCCCCCTTTCCTTCTCCTTGTGAATAACTCCTCCCTGTCGCACCCCGAGGCCCACTTTTAGGGCGGGCCGGGCGTTTCGCCTGAGACTTCCTCACCACGAATGCCTCTGAAGCTTAAAAATGACAAGAGCTTCACAGGTGGAGGGCGGGTCCTTTTCAAAATGAGGCTCTCGCCTGAGCGCCGCGCACATTCGTTTTAAAACTTTGCAGGAGCTTCACGGATTGAGGACGGGTGGTTTTCAAAATGTGGCTCTCGCCTCAGCGCCGCGCACATTCGTTTTCAAACTTTCCAAGAGCATCACGGATTGCAGGCGGGTGGTTTTCAAAATGTGGCTCTCGCCATAGCGCCGCGCACATTCGTTTTAAAACTTTCCAGGAGCATCACGGATTGCAGGCGGGTGGTTTTCAAAATGTGGCCATCGCCATGGCGCCGCGCACATTCGATTCAAAATTTGCCGGAGCTTCACGGATTGAGGGTGATTCCTTTTCAACATGTGGCTCTCGCCCTAGCGCCGTGCACATTCATTTACAAAAATTGCAAGAGCTTCACGGATTGAGGGCGGGTGCTTTTCAGAATGTGGCTCTCGCCTGAGCGCCGCGCATATTGTTCAAAACTTTGCGAGAGTTTCACAGATTGTAGGCGGGTGGTTTTCCAAATGTGGCTCTCGCCTCAGCGCCGCGCACATTCGTTTTAAAACTTCGCAAGAGCTTCACGGATTGAGGGCGGGTGGTTTTCAAAATGAGGCTCTCGCCTCAGCGCCGCGCACATTCGTTCTAAACATTTGCAAGAGTTTCACGGATCAAAATGTGGCTCTCGTCTTAGCGCCGCGCACATTCGTTTTTACAATTTGCAAGGGTTTCACGGATTCCCATCATCAACGTACCAGAACTGGTGTTTTGGAAGGGTTCCGGATTATGCGGGCGCAACAATTATTTGGATTCACTGTGTGGGAATCCAAATTTGCCGTTCTGATACGATTCTGGATCGTCACGGCGCAGCAGTCAATTTGATACGTGGCGTTGAGATCCCGAGAACAACGTTTTGGCACGCTTCAGGATCTTCAAACTGTTGTCTTCCAACGAAGCAGTTACCTCAATGGAAAGGAACCGCTGCAGGGGCCTATGAAGAGGGAGCTTGGAGGGAGGTGAATTGTTGATGTTGATGACTCTTGGGTTTCCACTGGTCCTCCTCATACAACTACTCCTCCTGCTCCTCCTCCTCATCATCATTCTTCTCTTAGCATCACCATCATCATCGTCATCATCAGCATCATCATCATCATCGTCGTCGTCGTCGCCGCCATCATCATCATCATCCTCCTCCTCCTCCTCCTCATCATCATCATCAGCAGCATCAGCATCAGCATCAGCATCAGCATCAGCGTCATCATCATCATCATCATCATCATCATCATCATCATCACCACTCCTCCTCCTCCTCATCATCATCATCATCAGCATCATAATCCTCAGAGACAGCACCATCATTCTCATCATCATCATCATCATCAGCAGCAGCAGCAGCAGAATGCTCACCATCATCATCACCATCAGCATCAGAATCGTCATTATCATCATCATCCTCATCATCATCATCGTCCCTGGTCCGTCCGTCCGTCCGTCCATCTATCCATCCATCCATCCATCAGTCCACTATCCACCATCCATCATCCAATATCCATCATCCACCATCCATCATCAATCATCCGCCATCCTCCTCCTCCTCCTCCTCCTCCTCCTCCAACTCCTCCTCCTCCTCCTCCTCCTCCTCCTCCTCCTCCTCCCCGCCTCCTACTCCGCAACTCCTCCTCCTCCTCCTCCTCCTCCTCCTCCTCCACCTCCTCCTCACCCTCTTCCACGACCATCATCACCTCATCATCATCAACAGCATCGTCGCATATTCCTCATCATCATCATCATCATCATCATCATCATCATCATCAACAACAACAACAACAACAACAACAACAACAACAACAACAACAACAACAACAACAGCATCAGCATCATCGTCATCATCATCATCCTCATCATCATCAACAACAGCATCATCATCATCAGCATCGTCATCATTATCTGGAGCTTCATCATCACCAGCCGCAGCATCATCCGTAGCATCATCATTAGCATCAGCATCAACATCATCAGCAGCATCATCACCACGATCATCATCATCATCATCATCATCATCATCATCATAATCATCATCATCATCATCATCCTCATCATCATCATCATCATCATCAGTACCACCATCATCATCATCAAAATTCGCATCAGCATCATCATTATCATCCTTCAGGTGACCACCATCATCACCATCAGTATCAGCAACAACACCATCATCACCACAAACAACACCATCATCAGCATCACCGTCATTATCATAATCATCATCACCATCAACACCAACATCATCATAATTACCAGCATCATGGACATCATCATCATCGCCATCATCATCAACACCAGCATCATCACCAGCATCGTCATCATCATCGTCGTACCTTCTCCTCCTTCCCTCCATCCATCCTCCATTCTTCACGAGCCTCGACCGTCAAGGAGGGGAGAGCCTAAGCCCCACTCGCCTCCTTCAAGGTGGGATGTTTGCAACAGCATAGAATGTGTCAACTGATTTGTAAAAGTCGACTCTCCTGTCTAAAAACGAATGCGGTCTCCACCACCACCCACCTCGCAGACTGATCGATTACCCGGGAACCGATGCAAAACACGCATGATCCTGACCAAATGTCCATCCTACCTGTGAATTCATACTATCCCAGCCAGGCCAGTATCAGTACCCCCTCGGTTCCCTTGCAAAAAATACTCTGCGCGCACATTCGCTTTTCAAACTTTTTGAGTTTTCCAGAGTCCACTGCAAAAGACGGACGAAGTGCACACGTGCGCGTCGTCGCGCGCGCATGCCGAAATCAATCAAAAACTCTCAGTTTCGGAAGGGTTTCAAAATCGAGTGTCCAAAACACTTTTCCAACAACAGAAAAAAGTTTCGCAGCGCGGATTTTCAACAAAAGAGCGCGCGCACGCTCTTGCGAATTCTTAAGAGAACCATATGTTTCAATTTTCTTATAATGCTACCCAACGGGCTTCGCGCGCACGCATGTCGGAATCGTTCAAACGCCCTTGCGCGAGCGTGCTGGGGTGGCACGATCCGTGTCAAATAATTCCACGCGAGCCACTCTCGCGCGCCTGCCGCGCGCGCATTTCGAATTCCTTCCCAAACCTTCATCACCGACGCGAAGACGCCGTCATCGTCGTCGGCGTGATCAGCATCGGCGCCGTCACTGGCTGACCCGTCGTCGCTGTCAGCATCGTCACCAGCATCGCTACTGTCATCATCGTGTCTTACATTTGTCGACATTGCCACGATACCGCGCCCGCCCAAGTCGCCGATTCGAACTGAAGTGCCCGCTGGGATGTAACGAGCGGTCAGCGCCACCGCGTTCACGTCGGTCGCGCCAAACTAGTTGGCCGCTGCGCGCGCGAGCATGCGCGGGCTAGCGCGGCCGCAGAGATGCACCGGCCAACACCTAGCACTCATCGCAAACGCTCCCGCATGGGTTTTGCAAACCAAGTTGCGGGTGGGTAGGTGGGATGATTGTGCAAGCAGTGGAGTTGAAAACTTCGAGTTCGGCAAGTGAATTGCACCACGTAGATTACAAAACATAGATTCTCTACCATATATTACACCACAGAAATTGCACAGTATATAATTACAACATACATTGCACAGCATGTATTGCACGTCATTGTATCGCACTACTTATATGACACCATATAGACTGCACTGGATACATGGCACCACGTTGATTGTACCACATGGATTGCTCCACATGGCTGAGGAAGAGGCGGAAGAGAAGGAGGAGGAGGAGAAAGGAGGAGAAAGAGGAGGAGGAAGAGGAGGAGAGGAGGAGGAAAGGGGAGGAGGAGGGGGAGGAGGAGGAGGAAACGAAGATGAGGAGGAATGAAAGAAGACCTCTCGCAAGTGCTCCAACCTTCCGAGAAGTTTTCTGCGTCTTCGGAGAAGGCTGAGAACACTTCTCAGAAGAACCGGGGACTTCCGAACCTTTTTGAGAAGGCCTTCTCCTTCTCCTTCTCACTCCCCCCCGGGCTCGCCACCGAGGAACCAGTGCCAGCCGAAGAAACATCAGCTACGGCAGACCTGGCGTGGTGATCCTGGTCCATGTTTGGTGCTCGGGGGCTCCATCACGAACCGCCTCCCCTCACATGGGGCCCTGGCCATACCCGAGCCATTCATTTGGACACCCGAAATGGGTACCGAAAGAATGGGCAACATGCCCAACAACAAATGTTGTCCCGAACCAACAGCGGCCGCTGTTGGGCAGGCGGCCTTCTGTCTCAAATGAACACAGGCCGCGGCGGCGCGGACAGCGAGTCCTGTTGAAAATGAACGGGAACTGCTGTTGGGCATCGTACCCATTCTTTCGGTACCCATGTCGGGCGTCCAGAATTCAGGCTCCCGCCCCGCCACCCCGCCCGCGCGCGCCGGCCCGCTGGCGCGGCCTCCTTCACCGTGGTGATGCACTCCGCTCCTCGGAACACGCGCAGCGAGCGGTCCTGGCGGCGCCGCGCGGTGCGAGGCCGGGCGAGGCGGGGCGGGGCGGGGTTGCCGCCGAGGCGACTGCCGAGATGGCCCCTGGAGCCTCCAAGATGACTACCTACCAGACCACCCCAACCCAACCCGAAGACCCGAATTTCGGGTTGGGGGGGGTAAGGGTTCCACATGTGTTTTTTCGATATTTCCCGGACCCCCCCCCACTGGAAATCGAGGGTAAATCTGAGCCTTCGGGTTGGGTTGGGGTGGTTTGGTGGGTGGTGACAGGATGCCCCGCTGTGCACCAGTAGAGGAAAGAGAACTATGCACATGCACCGATTCTGGCCAGGCCCAACCCTGAGCCCAGGATCGGTGCATACGCCCCCTTGCCTTGGCCGGGAAGGTATATGCACCGAGCCTGGGTCAAGGACGGGCCTTGCCAGGATCGGTGCAAGTGCATAGTTCTCTTCGCCCGAGCTGTGCACCAGGGTCCCCCGAGGTGGCCTCCGAAGGCGGCCCCTTCGCGACTCCGCAGGAGCGCGAGGCGACACGAGGCGCGACGCGAGGCGCGGCGCGAGGCGGCGCGAGCGGAGGGGAGGAGATGCCCCGCGTCATCACCGCGCCTCCGCTGGCACAGCGCCTCCTCCTCCTCCTCCTCCTCCCCCTCCCCCTCCTCCTCCTCCTCCTCCTCCTCCTCCTCCTCCTCCTCCTCCTCCTCCTCCTCCTCTTCGCGCCTCCGCTGGCACAGCGCCTCCGCTGGCACGACGCCCCGAAACAAAATACAGTCGGACTTCAGTGGACGGGACACGCGAGAGGACCAGAGACCCTTCCGAGGGCCACATTGCCTTAGGAATGCGGGAGGCACGGGTCGCGAGACTCGGGACACAGAGGTGCCCTTGATTCGGCGGGGTCGACCTACTGATCCGGGCCGGCGGTGTGTGCCAACAGATGCTGAGCTCCAGGCCCCGCCTCTGTGTAGGACCTCTCTCGAGCTGCATCGATCGGAGGGGGCCCCTGGGGCCAGGAACAGAGCGGCAACCCCAGCCGAGTCTGTTTACGCGGGATGGCGCCACGCTGCCTAATACGTCGTCGTCATCGTCGTCGTTGTCTTCGTCTTCATCGTCGAACGTCCTCGTCGTCGTCGTCGCACGTCGCGCGTCGAACGGCGAACCTCGACGCAGTCAACTCTTACACTGCCTTCCTGTTCGCCGAGCTGGAGTGACCACGGCACAGGGGAGGGGGCGGGGATCTCCTCCTCCTCCTCCTCCTCCTCCTCCTCCTCCTCCTCCTCCTCCTCCTCCTCCTCCTCCTCCTCCTCCTCCTCCTCCTCCCCCCCCTCCTCCTCCGCCTCCTCCTCCTCCTCCTCGCCAAGTCCTGCGACCCTGTGACGATCTCTCCAGTGGGCAACACGGCCACCGTCACGGCGTGGGAGCCCGCCTTGGAGGCCGCTGCGTCGCGCCATCACGCCTCCTGCTGCCTTCGCCTCCTATGGCCTCCGCCTGCCTCGGCCTTCTCTCCTCGTCCTCTATCTCCTCCTCCCACTCCCCCTCCCCCACCTCCTGCTCCTCGTCCTCGTCCTCGTCCTCGTTCTCCTCCTCGTTTTCCTCGTTCTCCTCCTACTCCTCCTCCTCCTCCTCCTCCTCCTCCTCCTCCTCCTCCTCCTCCTCGTCTTCCTCCGCTCAAGCCATTCAGGCGCAAGCACCAAGTCCTCTTCCCCCGAGGAGAGGCCGCGCGTTTGCGCTTCCTCGGTGCCTCCACGTGGCGCTTGAGGGACAACCACAGACGAGAGTCCAGCCCAACTCTCCAGCTTTGGTTGACTAAAGCCGAGGATAGCCATGAGCCGTCTGTGGTCAGAGTGTCAGCACTGCGGGCGACAGGAATACAATGAGAAGCTGATCGACCGAGGCCAAAAATGTGTTTGTGGCCAGAAGGTTTCGTTATACAAGCCCAAGAAGAATTTGTCTGTTTCTGGCGGTGGTAGTGGCAGTGGACAGACCACGCCCAAGAGTGCTCTGCGGAAATCGGTCCGTTTGTTGAGGGGCAGGACACTCACGTTGGAGGTGGAGGGTCGCATCAGTCCACTCCCAACACATCCCCGCGCGGATCTGCAGGCGTTCAGAGAGACCAGCAGTCTGTGGCTTCACATCTGCAGGCAGCTCTCCAGGCAGCTCGGGATCCTGATTTGCGTGCCAGTCTACAGCAGCAGCTCGAGCGGCTCCAAGCCCAGAAGGGACTAGGGGCAGCCAATGTTGTTCAGGCCATGCAGCAGGCTGATGGCGCGTGGAGAGATGCGAAGAATCGACACCAGCAGGCGGTCACTTCAGCATTGCGATTGGAAAAAATTGGCAGCTGCACGCGACAAGGAAGCTAATGTATCCAAGTTGGTGGCCGAGACAGCCCTCGCCCGAGCACAAGCGGCAGCCGCTGTGGCTACGCTCGAGGGAGTGTCCGTCAGCTCGGCCGTCAACGAGGAGAAAAAGCCTTTCGATGTCGTGTGGGACGAAGATTTGTTCAACAACTTGGGCCAGCTCGAGTGTGAGCAGTCCGAGCGTGATTGGTTAAAGAAGTGCTTGGTCGAGTTGCAGGCGCAGAAGGCGTCGATCTCTACCAAGGCCGACGAGGTTACCCAGCTGGTTGAGCGAGCTAAGGCCACCAAGGCCGCCATTTCTGAGAGGTTGGCCAAGAAGCGACGCAACAGTGCAGGTGAAGCAGATGGCAGCTCCTCGTCGGGGAGTACTCCAGCAGCTACATCCGATGCGAATGGTGAAGGATCGTGCCCTGCGCCATCTGCCGACGACGAGGCCAAGGCCAAGCTCAAGGCCGAGAGGGGGGCCAAGATCGCGGCGGAGGCGGGGAAAATCTCGCAGGCGCAGTTCATCGCTCAGAGGCATGCGGAGCAAGCTGCAGAGCCAGATCCTGATCAAGAGCTGTGACTAGGGACTGCAAAGTCCCCACATGTGGCCTACGAGCCACGCCATCGACCTCAGTTGCCAGAATTCTCCACCGTGCTGTTCGGGAATGTTAATGGGCGACAAGGTGTGGGACTCCATTGTGGCCAACTTCGAGGCGGGCAAAGTAGACGTCTGCGCTGTCGCTGAGACGCATGTTTCACGTTCAATTCGGCCACCTGGCTTAAAAAGGCTCGGCGAGCCAACATCAGATTGCATATGAACCCCGCTCGCAAGACTGTTCGTGCTGTCACGGTGCTCGGTCAAGATCGTGACACGGATGGGGGGGGGGAGTGGATTTTAACGCCTGGTCACAGGCAAGCACACTCCCTCGTTCACCAGCTCGATCGTGTTCAAGAGTTCCAGTACGACGGGCAGGTTGCAATTGATGGTTTTGCGGCTGTGCATATACATATGTCAGGGTACTCGTATGTTCTAGTTGCCTCTTACGCTTTCACTTCGCGTCGGCTTGGCCGGCATGAACCCTGCTAGGTTCGGTAAGCTGGGGGGCCTTTTTGGCCGCGCTGAAACTTCCATGGGTCCTCGTGGGAGATTTCAACCTGTCCGCGGCCGTCCTCGGTAAAGCTGGATGTTTCACTCGCGTAGTACCGTAGGCGGCCACCCTGTGCACCCTAGTACAGAATACACGTGTGACGCGGGTAAGTCTGGTTCTAATACCGACTTTGCCGTCATCAGCGCGGCCGCAGCCCCCTTTTTTCATTCGATTTCGCCGGTTGTTAAGGTCCCGTCGAAAACTCACTGCGGCCTCAAGATTTTGATGAGATCAACAGGTAAGCAGTTAATTCCGAGGGCCCTTCTGCTTCCGACCAAGTTACCTCAAGTTGCCAGGCCCACCACGAGGCCTACTGAGGGTTCCAAGTCTCAGGCAGCCAAAGCACAGCGAAAGCTTAAGGCTGAAGTATTTGCCGATCGTAGGTCGCAGTATTACTCTAATCTCTTTGGTGACGCGTGGCCGCGTGAGGACGACGAACGCAAAACGCACCCGAGAGGTCATCGCACCCACCGACCTCGACCAATTGTCCGATGTGCCATCCGAGGAGGATCCCTGGGCGCACGAGCAGAATTTCGTAAGTGCTCACGCGCCAGAATCACATGAGCGGCAGGATGCACCCGACTCTGAGAGGGACGGCCCTAGCTCGTCCGACCTGCAAGGGCGGCAGGATGCGCCCGTCTCTGGGAGGGGCGGCCCTTGCCCTGCTGACGGCAGTGCCCACGGCCGTTTGGGCCAGCATGGCACCCCCATCATGGGAGGGCGTTTTCATCTGCCTCATTATGCTCAGTCTAGTGCGTGGGGAATTGCTGGTGATGATCACATATCGTCGTCTCAGAGCCATACAGTCGACCCCCTTGCTGTTTGTGTTGAGCAGCCCCCCTCAGGTACAATCGAAGAGGCTAATGTTCTGACCTTTCAAATATCCGATGAGACTTGGGTTAATGCCCGTGCTCAGGTTGGTCTCTTGCCTTCGCCGCCGCCTGCTCCTGCTTTTGCTGCCCCCGTAGCTGCCAGGCTCGGGTCCCAATCCGTAGCTCAGGTTTCTGCGTTATATGGCTCTTGGGTGAAGGCAGTCGAGTTGACGATATGCGATCATCATGGCATTGCACCACTACCTGGTATTTCGAGGGCACAAGGCCACGCATTCGTTGTTCAGCAGGTGCGTGTCCCAAGCAAGACTCGGGTAACACCTTTTAGCAATGTTATTGCTACTTGGTGGGAACAGCTCTCGGTTGTATTGGAGCGTACTCACGGGCACAGGTCCAAAGGCAATGGGGTTGTTCAGAGAGAGCTACTACGAGTGGCGCTTCGGCATCTTATGGATGAGGCCCCCGACAGGGCCCACACGGGGATTCGGTCTGGGGTGGAGCCGTCTTCGGCAGCGTGGCCCATGCTCATGCAAAGAGGGGCTTCAGTCTCAGCGAATATTCTCCAGAAGTTTGTCAAGACAGCACAGAGCATTGCAGCGCGATGCCGACGTAGGGCATTACGCGCCTCTCTCGACGAGCTTAAAGGTTGGATTACTACCAAGGAGGCTGAGGGTTCACTGCATCGAGCGATTCGTGCTGATCCCCAGGTCGCCGATGAAATTGTCACTGAGACCACCGTGTTTTGCAACCCTATTGGCATGGTGGACCAGAAAGCAAGACTGTTTATCAAGTTGTGGACCCCCAGCCCAGTGGACACCGATGCAGTATGCCGCGCGTTTGAAGAAGTGTGTGCGGTGGCATCTTTAGAGCCACTCGAACCATTGGATCTCGCCGATATACGTAGAGCAACGCATCCATTCAAGCCTCGCGCAGGCTTAGGGGCGGATGCACTCGCTCCATTGGATTTTGAGAGGTCACCTGACTTGGCTCTTGACGAGCTGCGCGTTTTGTTTACGGTTGTAGAAGAAACTCTGGCCTGGCCCACCCAAGTGTCCCTGGTCCTTGGGAGACTTCTGCCCAAAAAGTCTAAAGGGGATAAGGTGATTGGAGTTCTTACCATGTTTACCCGCGTGTGGTCTAAAGCCAGGGAACCTGTCGTTCAAGCGTGGAGTTTGGCCAATGAGCCAAGCTGGGACGCAGCTGTCAAAGGCAATGGAGCCTTGCAGGAAGCATTCCATCGTGTTTTGGAGAGTGAGGTGACTGGCGCCCTGGGGGGTCCCTCAGGTAAAGGTCTTTTAGATGTAGAGAGCTTCTACGATTCGATGGAATGGGCGGCGCTTATTCGGACAGCGTTAAGGCTAGGATTTCTTGCTACCACTCTCTATTTAGAATTACTTCTTTGTGTCTCGCCTCGCACATTGGGGCAGAGGGGTTCATATGCAGACGCGTTTTGCCCGTCACGGTCCATTATCCAAGGACTCCGTTCTGGGACCAGATTTGCAAGGTGTTTGGTGTTTTTTGTTATTCATCGTATTACGATTGCACGCGAAAACATGTCCACCAGGATCTGGATCGACGATCTGCCACAAAGAGTTGTTGGGTCCCGGGCGAGCGTTCGCAAGCAGTTGTTTAAAGGTTTATTGGCCACTTGTCTGGGCCTACAAAGCGTTCAGTTTCGTGCATCGCCAAAGCCGGTGATCATCTCTTCGCATATTCCTGATGCCAAGTTCATTGCCACTCGACTGCCACAAGCAGGATTTACAGTTTCGGCATTTGCGCAGACAGGATATTTGGGAACGGATTTGGGAAGAGGCAGAAGGCATGCTCGAGGCAATAGAACTAAACGAGTGGTCAAAGGTGTGGCAATGCATTCTAGAGTACTGCGTTTCGCCCGTGCTGCTCGCAAGTATGCTGTTACAGCCAAGCTCGAGAGAGCTGGCACTCTTGCCGCGCAGCTGTACGCACATCAGATTCATGGTGTATTTGGATCAGCTATGATCCGTTGCCGTCGTCAAATGGGGGCTGTTTGTGGGTCTGGGAAAAAGGGGCGCTGCCTCACGACCCTCCTGGATTTAAGGGCTCCCATGGGTGACCCGGCTGTGTATT